TTTAATATACATAAAACCATATCTAACATATTCCTTCTACATCACGATTTCTACCAAGTAAATAATAGCGATCATTAAAAAAAATTAAGTGTAAATTAAAAATAAAACCAGTAATAAATTATCAATAATAAAAACTGAATAATACTGAAAAACGAGTAAAATATTTTGGTGTTCTCTATCGCCTTTCTCTTTTTTTTTTTTATCAGACAACATAGTACAGAGAATCACAAATCAAATATACTATTCAATTTCATGTACTCATTTTAAAATATATCAAATTTTGATCAATTTTTTTAGATCACCAATTTTATTTTAGTTTTACACGGGTCAATCAGTACCAGGTGACATGTTACTAACGGATTTTGGATTCTTACCAAGTTTTATCAAAATTTTAAATAGCGGTGAATTAGTTAAATCCGAACTGAAATATATACATATCACTAAGTTTAGTTGCTTACTCTCAAACCCGTGTCGGGTATGATAACACTGCTCAACACAATTATAAATGTATTAAGTTGCAAAATTTCAACACATGTAATTTTATAATTATAAAATCTTTGTTTCGTATGAATCAATTTATAAAGAAACTACTTCGGTTTCGTTGTCAAAAAAAAAAAAAAAAAAACTACTTCGGTTTCATGTAGTACAAACTTCAGAAATAAATACCAAAATCTCATAAACCGGATTGACACTAAACTTACAATGATGCTCCGGTTCGGCTTGCAATAGAGGATGGTTTCCGGTTAGCCTTCAACTCAACAATTAAGGGCCCAATTTTATGCTACAAAAGACCGAACTTGTATAATGGGAGTAGCTAGTTAATGGGCCGAGTCTGTCCCGTTCGACCTGATTCCTCCTAGGTTTTGTTCTAAAAGCGAAGTGTAAGATTTTAAAGTTGTCAACTTTCCGACCAAAATATACAAAAAGCGTTTTGGTTCTGCTCCGCCGTCGCCGCTTAAACCCTGAGGCTAACCTTAAACCCTAACTGAGAGACGGAGAAGAATGAAGTACCCGAGAAGTGGAGGCTTCAAGAAAGGCGGTAAAAAGGGTTCGAATGACAGAGATCCATTCTTCGAGCAAGAGACCAAGAAACGTAGGAAAGTTAGTTACGACGACGAAGACATCGAGTCTGTTGACTCAGACGCGGAAGAGAACGGCTTTGCGGAAGATAAGAGAGAAGCTGAAGAACCTGAGGAAGAAGATGAGTTTGCGGACGAGACGGCGGGAGAGAAGCGGAAGAGATTAGCTGAAGCGTTGCTTAAAAGAACCAGAGAAGCAAGGCAGAGAGAGCGTGAAGAACGTGATGATGATGAAGATGATGATGAGGAAGATGATGATGATGATATTGTCAAGATGTTGATGAAGAAGCAGCTTGAGGATACTGGTAGGGTTCGAAGAGCCATTGCATCCAGGTAATTAATCAAAGTAATAATCTTCTCTTTTTTTTTTTTTTACATTTGCTCAGTGTTCAAGATAACTAGGCGTTGTATTGTGGCTTAAATTATAAAATTGTTTTAATGAATTATCAAAATTAGTTATACAAAACAAAAGAAGTTAGACAAATTTGTGGATTTTTGTGCTAATATAACTTCTTAATTTAACAGAGTTAGATCAATTTAAAATGGTCTAAATGGATTTGAATCTTATACTCCCTCCATTTCAAATTTTTAATTTACTTTTCCTTGTAAACTAAAATTTTCGTTTTAAAATAAGTGTCATAGTAATGACTCATTACTATTACATTTAGTAACATTTTTATATTGGTTGAAATGTTTTAGATTTAGGTAATTGTGTTTTTTCTAAAAAAAATATGCAAAATTAAATGTTTTCTTAATTTGTGTGAAAAACCCAAAACAATAAATTGAAATAGAGGGAGTATATTGGATTTTATTAAAAAAAAAATCATAATGTTTTCCGGCCTAAAGTGATTTTTTAGATAGAACATGCATTTACTAGGTTTGAGGATTGGTTATACTGATAAAGTTTAAGCCTTTTGTAATGATTCAGGGTTCAGGAGCCACTTAGTAGTGATGGGTTTAGTGTTATAGTCAAGCACCGACACTCTGTTGTGGCGGTTGCTTTGTCTGATGATGATACAAGAGGCTTCTCAGCTTCCAAAGACGGTACTATTCTCCACTGGGATGTATCCTCTGGGGAAAAAGAGATATACAAATGGCCAAGTGATGAGATTCTGAAGTCACATGGGATGAAAGTGAGGGAGCCTCGGAATAAGAAACATAGCAGAGTGACTCTTGCTTTAGCTGTAAGCTCGGATGGTCGTTACTTGGCGTCTGGAGGAGTTGATCGTCATGTTCATATATGGGACGTTCGTACAAGAGAACATGTCCAGGCCTTTCCAGGTCATAGGAACACGGTTTCTTGTCTATGTTTCAGACACGGGTCTACGGATCTCTATTCCGGCTCGTTTGATAGAAGTGTCAAGGCGTGGAATGTAGAAGATAGAGCTTTTGTGCAAGACAGTTTTGGACATCAGGCTGAAGTCTTGGCCATTGATGCGCTAAGGAAGGAGCGTGCAGTTTCTGTTGGAAGAGATAGAACCATGCAATTACACAAGGTGAATAGTTTATTTTTTCTTCTCTATAATCATATGGTTTCTGGTGTTTCTTTGTTTGTAAGTATTGTTGTATGATTGTAGATGCCAGAGCAAGCTCGTATGCTCTACCGCGCACCTGCATCGTCTCTAGAGAGCTGCTGTTTCATCAGTGATACTGAGTATCTGTCTGGTTCGGATAACGGAACTGTTGCACTTTGGGGCATGTTAAAGAAAAAACCAGTGTTTCTCCTCAAGAATGAACATTCTCTTATAGCTGATGGAGTCACCATTAATGGTAAATTCCTTTTTCCTCTGGTCTGTGAATGCATTTGAATTTTAACAGTGCAGTTCATTTCACCTATCTTAATTCTTTTTTCTTTTCTTTCTTCTAAAACAGAAAATGGTGATCAGGATAATGTCGAGCATAATAACTCTTGCACAACAAGTTCTTGGGTAAGTTCAGTTGCTGTAAGTAGAGGTAGTGATCTAGCTGCATCTGGAGCTGGTAATGGTTTTGTGCATTTGATGGCTGTTGAAGCAAGTGCCCTTCGGCCTTTATTCAAGCTTCCACTGGTAAAACTTTATTTCTCTTATAATGTTTTAGAGTATTGTGTGGATGCATCTGTTGTTTGTGATTGTGAGAGTGGTTAATTTATTACCTAACCAACATTTAGCCTGACATAACCGCACTTGGATATTGAGAAACTTGTATTGATTCTAGTGCAAAGAGAAGCATTTCACTTCTTCAAGTAATAATCTGACGTTGCCTTTTATGATACAGGCTGGATACGTGAACTCTTTGGCTTTTGCAAAATCCGGCAAGTTTCTGATTGCCGGTGTTGGACAGGTATGTGATTCTCTCTTATCTTGTGTCTTTCTTTGTTCTCTGTTTTTTTTTTTGTGTGTGTGTGAATGCTAATCTCGAAACTGTTGTGTTCGCTATGGCAGGAAACGCGATTTGGAAGATGGGGATGCCTAAAGTCTGCGCAAAATGGCGTCGCAATACATCCCTTAAGGCTGTCATAAGGATTCCAGTGGTACTTACATTTTTGAGTTGCTAGAAGCCAGATTAATCTCACGTTATGTAAAGACTTTTACAGCCTACTCCATTTTAGTTTGTTTTATTGTTACCCATTGTTGTTTTAATACAAGTGAAAGAAGAACGTTAATGTTTTTGAGATCCTAATGGATCATAGTTGGTAAAAAACATTTGAATCAGGGACGTATTATAAGGCCAAGTTCCAGAGATGCAGAGACTTGGGTTGTTCCAAAAAAAAGCGAGATACAACGACTTTATGACTTATCAAGATACGCAGCTTTAAGAATTTATTAAGATTCAGACTTGATCACTTATCGAGTTTGCAAAATAAAAGACAAGAAGCTGCATCAATGTATGCTCTTAACTCAAGCTTGGAATCCCTAGAAACAGTCTCTTAAAGTTTCTGCCTATGGCACTTCTCGGTTCTGTTCCATTCTGAATGTAGAATCAACTGGATAACAAGATTAAAAAAAAAAAGACAGGGAATTGATTAGGAAAGCTCTGGGCAAATATACAAACGTACATAGAATACCACAAGGTGAAGACTTGAAGCAAGCAAGAAAAATGCAAACATGATAGTAAGAATAACTAAACAAGAACATATACAACAAACAAAAAAACGATACATAATGATCCAAAGAGACTATAAATCTATGCGGAGAGAAGCACAAAGAGTTACAAAAATGCTGACAAAAAAGTTTTAAAATTTCACTTTGCAATCACCAACTTAAGAAATACAAGTGTGATTATCATTCATCTACTTGCTACATGAAACTTGTTCTTAATTAATTGACAAGTGTGATTATCATTCATCTAGCTAACCATCAGTTTTGACTTATTTCTACAACAAAGTACACCCAAGACGTCCGCAATAACATCACAATATCAACACTACTAACCATCCGTCCTAAACAAACGGTTAAAGCTCATCTCCAAAGCAAAAACAAGACTAAAGATGGCATATTGACAAAATATATAACCTTTTTATACATTTTCTACAACAACATACACCCAAATAACCAGCCTTTAACATCGGATATCAATACTACTAGCCATCAACCCTGAACATACGGTTAAAGCTCAACTCCAAAGCAAAAACAAGAGAAAAGATGGCATACTGACAAAATCTATAAGCTTTTTATACATTTTCTGTAACTAAGTACAACCAAAAACGCCAGCTTTAACATCAAATAACAAAATACTAATAACTATCAACCCTAAACAAGCGACTAAATCTGTCTTTCGAAAGTAAAAGCGAGAGCAAAGATCGCATACAAAATCTCGTTTATATATTTGCTAAACAAAGTAAAGTCAGGTCTTACTGAACCACTAACGATAAATCCTCAACTCGTTCCACTAATGAAAAACAAGCAGTTCAAACTCATCTCAAAAGCAAGAGAAAAAACGTCACCTTTAACATCAGATAGCAAAATACTACTAAACATACAGTTAAAGCTCAACTCCAAAGCAAATACAAGAGCAAAGATAGCATACTGACAAAACCAATAACCTTTTTATACAACAAGGTACACCCAATACAGCAGCCTTTAAACATCAGATATCAATAACTACTAACCATTAATCCTAAGCTCATCTCCAAATTTTTTTAAGGAAAAAAGTGTAAAGATGGCATATTGAAGAAATCTCTAACCTTTTTATACATTTTCTACAACAAAGTAAACCCAAGGCTCGGTGAACTACTAACCATCAATCATGAATTCGTTACAAAAGTAAGAGAAAACAATACATTTGCTACCACAAAGTAAAGCCAGGTCTTACTGAACCATCAACGATCAATTCTAAATCGAAAAATCAACATAGAAAAAAATAACATAAAAAGAACCAAAAAAAAAAAAGCTCTGACCTTTTAAAAAAACGGAATCATCTCAACTTCTCTTTACTCGAACTCTTCTTCGCCGCATCCATAACCTTCTCCAGATACCCTTCAATCGGCGGCGTAAGCGTGGCCATCCCCCTATTCGCCGGAAACGGCGTCAAATCAGGCTCCAACGCCGCAACCCTCAACCTCTCAGGCAACGCCTCGATCGCCGCCTTCTTCAAACTCAGCAACACAGTCTCCGCCGCCCTCCTCTCTCTATTCTCCCTCATCAACACCTTACTGTTCTCCTTCGCCAGCCTCTCCCCGTCCTCCGCCGTCACCTTATACTTCACCAACTCCTCCGCCTTGAAAATCCCCAACGAGACGTAATCCAAACCGGTCGTTCCGATCCGAACCGGCTCCGAATCGGTGTTGTTGATTCCCTTTGCTTTCTTCTGGGTTTCGATTTCGCGTTGCTTGTCTTTGCTGATTAGCCCTAGCTTCTCGCGTTGGGCCTCGCGTTGGGCCTCTTTGGGGGTGAGGGAGCGGATGGGGCAAGGGGCGTTGAGGCATTGTTCGTAGAGTTTTTGTTTTTCGTCGGAGATTCGGGTTTTGCCTTTGGCGGGTTCGTCTCCGGATTCGGATCCGGGGGGTTTGGATCCGGAGCCTTTCTTGGTGGTGGAGAGCTTGTTGCGTTTTAACGGGGTTTTGAGTTTGGTTTTGCCTTTTGGGGTTCCGCCCGCGGAGCATCTTTGGATTAGGTTGTAGGAAAGGGATTCGAGGATTGGGTTTGGTCTTGTGAATCGGATCATGGTGAAGAGGTTTTGTGATTCTAGTTCGAGAGATGAGGTTTTGGTCTGAGAAATGGTGTTTTTGAGAAGGAAGCGGGGAGATTTAGGGTTTTGACTTCGTACTTTGAAAGAGGAACTCAATGTTTGAACGACGTCGTTGAAGGATGATCTCATAAGAAAGACTGTAATTCCAGGTGAAATCAGGGGTAGTTTAGTCATTAAGGAAAGTTAGGTGACGACAATTTTGTGATTGAAGGGTGATAGCGAGGGTATTCTTGTCAGTTGCCATGAATTCCAGTATGGCGTTTTATGTCTCGGTTGGATTGGATTCCATCTGAATTAACCGACTTCTTGGTACAATTTCGGTTCGGTTGATTGATTTTGGTTATACTGTTCTGGTCATGTTCTAATTATGGTAAGTATGAACATTTGTAACTAAACCTGGAATCTAAACCACATCTAAAACAAAATATCAAAGTTTGTACCTAATTTGATCATAAAAATATCCAGACGGATTTTATAAGATGGTATTTCTGATGTCGGTTTTTGTGTAAATTCAACAAAAATAATATTAAAAAAAATTGAACAGAAAAATTAAATGAATATACGAAATCAATATAAATAATATATTTTCGATGTTTATTTTTATCCAACTGTAAAAGTATCTAATTTTCAATATTATTAACCAAAATATAAAATAAATTCGGATTCAAAATATATCTTATACAGAAATATGAAATATATTAAAAACCAAAATATTATTAACGATCCAAAAAACATCAGACTGGATATAAAAGGTTGAACCGTAGACAGGGTTAAAGAAACCAACTTATTTTTCATAATTTCACAAAACTGAAAACCAAACCAAATGTTAGTTAAACCGAACCTAATACGAAATCAGGCTTTTATTACGTTTCAAATCTGAATCCTCGAACCGTATGAGAAGTGAGAACCTTAACCAAGCCACGTAGAAACAACACAACCTTCCAAACACAAATCATTTGATGAATAACAATACAATTCAAGAGTCACAGATACAAGATGAAGCTATCTTAGAGTCTTACCATCCACATAAAATGGATCACCACAAGATTTATTCAATTGCAGGAATGTAGAAACACAGAGAGAGAAAGACAATTACACAAGTCAATCAATACACTTCAACATGCCATTGCTTGTTCTTCCTAAGCTGAGAAAGCTTCTGCTCCCAGCTCTCACCTCTCTCTTCCGCAACTCTCTTAAGCGTATCTTGAATCCCAGGCATCATTCCTTTAAGCCCACAAAAGTAAATATGAGCTCCATTATCCAAAAGCTTAAAGATCTCATCACTATACTCCTCAATCTTGTCCTGCACATACATCTTCCCTCCTTTCTTGTTCTTCTCTTCTCTGCTCAACGCTTTATCATACCTGAAATTCTCTGGATAGTCCTTGAGGTAGCTTGAGAACTCTTCATCGTAGAGAAGACTGTCTGTGTTAGCTACACCGAGGAAGAGCCACGCGAGTCCATCAAACTTCATAGGAACATTCTCCATGAACATACGACGCAAGTACCCTCTGAATGGAGCAACTCCAGTTCCAGTAGCAATCATGATGTGTGTAGCTTTCGGATCTTCTTCAGGTAAAAGCATTACCTTTCCTGATGGACCTGTTAATGCCAACAACATAGAACATTAATGATACACTTTCAGCTTTAAAGAAGTTCAATAAGATTAACTTACCTGTGATTTGGACCTTATCTCCAGGCTTAGAATTGCACAAGAAGTTGCTGCATACACCAGCTTTAGAAGGATCTTCTTTTCCTGTCTCTGGATCATAGTACTGAGCTCGGCGAACACATAAACTAGCAGTCTTGCCATCAAAAGAATCACCATATCTTGTTGACGCAATAGAATAAAGACGAACATTGTGAGGAGCACCAGGTTTCTTAGGATTCTCACCCTACAGAAGCAATGTATTTATAAGCAACAGAAGTTCAGAAACAAAAGAAACAAAACACAGTACTTACAGGAGGGATCACACCATAGCTCTGTCCTTCCCAATAAGGAACCTTCCCATCATGATCAATCACAATGTGGCAAGTCTCACCAGGTGCTTGTGGACCAACAATTCTCTCAACCGAAACAATCGTTGCAGTGTAAGGCTCCTTAGGCCTGTACAAGTTCAACGGAACCTCTTTGGGATCTTCAAGCTCTATAGGAGTAACCGAGACTTTGGATCTGCTTGCTTGCTGCTGAAGTGACATACATACTGTGGACCGTTTCTTCAAACTCAGTTTCCTAGATACTGATGAATCTAATCTCAAAAGAGGACTCCATGACTTGTCAGTGAAGCTTACACTTTGCACCTGAGACAGAGTTATAAAAGTCAACGCTTACCACAAACTAATTGAGAGTTTTATTTTTATTTTTTTTAATAAGCTCCTTCCACTTTCTACATGAGATTCTAAAGAGTAGGACATAAGTTTCAAGTATCAATAGATACAAAATCAGATTTTTGTTATCTTCTGCTTCTAAAGACTGTACCTTTCAATACATACTTCACTACCAGTCAACATTAATACAAAACCCACTAAAAAGAAAACAAAGACAACAACATTTCAGGACCATCTAAGCATCTGAAACAACATAGTTTTGTAAAATTAATTAATCAAGACTAGTTTTTGTTCACCTTGATCATAGATCGGCTTGACCCATCAATCCCAATAGGAAGTGTAACAGACATCTGAATCAAAAACAAAACTTTCGTTATGTCAGCAAATATACAAGTAAAAGTGTATATAATAGCAAAAAAACAAAAAGAAAAGACCTGAGAAAGAGGAGTTGAGAGAGCCATGGTGATGAATAAGAATTGGATTATGAATTAGATCGCAAATCGAGAAGAGAATGATTGATGAACAGAAGAAGGAGATGTTTTTTTCTGGGTTTAATAGTGAAAGGGGTGAGGAGGAGAAAGATCCTTTCAAGGCCCAGAAAAGACACAAAACAGCCCACACACTGTCTGCAATGTCTCAATTGGTTGGCTCCTCGGGAGGGACAGTGGATCTCGGTGGAACTAATTATTGATTAATTCTTTAATGACGTTCTCTTTGATTATTTAGTACTCCATTTTAATTGCGCAATGCACATTATAAGACAATTATAAGATGTTCCCATTTTTTTCCAGAAAATTCTCTGTATATATTATTTATGCAAATTTTAATTTTGTAGAAAAATAAGAAAACTAACTCATGTATGTTACAATTTTAAAGCCAATTTTGAAAGTTTGAAATTTACAAAATCAGTTATGTTTTATATAAAAATGCTTACTAAGTTGCATGAGAATAATTGCATTTTTTTTTTTTTCGTTTTAGAAAAAGTTATATAAGAAACTGTGAACATATATTGTCATCCGTAAAATTATTGTTAGAGCATAATTTAACACTAATCTAACTCAATACAAGTCCATACTGAACACAGTAATTTGGAAATATTTATGGTCCAGTCGACCAAACTGTATCACCGATCTCATAAGTTGAGTAGCGAACTAACAAATAACCTATGAATTAAGACAAGATTGAACAGTCAAATAATGATCTGTAGTCTGAAGAATTAGGTGTGGCACGTGCATCCCAAATAGAACAAGTAGCTGAGCCTGGGTTATAAAAGAATAAGTAAAGCTTAGGATTTGCTTACGAGACATAAAAGCACACACGCTGAACTAGTCTGTAAGCACATCCGATGGAAAGATCATTCTTATGCTCAGTACATCCATTATAAATGTTAACTAGATTTTGATCCGCGCTTGAGAAGCGTAGATTTTGTTTCGGTTGTAACAAAATATTTAAAATGATCCGATTTCTATTATATGAAAGGTTTATATGCGAAATTTGATGTATATTTAACGTTTTAGTAAGGTCTTTTCATTAAGTTTTGCATAACCGAGTCAGTTTGTGGTTGAACAGAGAATCAGAAAATTAAGTGTTGTGAGAGTTTGAAGAAATAAAAACATATTAGATTGAAACCAAAATTGGATGGGTCCATAACCTATAATAAACTTGAAAAATCAATACTATTAAAATACCCAAAATTGTATTACAAATTTTTAATTAAATCCAATAAATATGTTAATCGAATTATATAGTTTATTTATGTTTCGGCAATTTTGTTTTGACCCGCGCTTGAGAAATTTATAATAGGTAGGGAGACTAACTTTATACTATTAACCATAAAAAAAAAAATTTATGGTTTCCACGAGACTAAACTCCAACTTATTCTTTTGTTTCCCACCACTACACCCTATGGTTTCCAGATCACTCAAGTCTTGAACTTGTCCAATAACATCTAGATAAAAATATACTCGTGTTAGATAGAAACACAACAATGGAGATAATTTATAAAAATGGGAGAAAACTGACCAATAAGAAAATTATTAACATTTATGATTCAAAATAATACAGTTTTAAAAATAGAAGAATTGTTCCATAAATATAGGGAAGAATATTATCATTTAGGTTTTTCCCCGCGCTTAAAAAACATTATCATTTAGGTTACACTTTTACAAAATGAAGATATCTAAATCATAAATCTATACAAAACGATAAACTTACATTTGCATCACAAAGGATTAGTTCCATGGTCTCCCCTATGTCTTTCATGAAATGTTTCCATGTATGAAAGATTTTGACTTGGATGCGACATGCAGTCTTGCTAGGTTTTATATCACTCAAGAAAGACAACTGCAAATTATTCGTCATTTTTGTTTTAAGTTTTTCGATAAATGATGAATATAGTAGTTAAAAGAGGCTATATTTAAAATAGGTAGGGACGATATACATTTAGGTTACGCAAATGTAGGAAAGAATATTTAGACGATATTAAAAAATATCTCTTTCGAGGAATAAGAAATATTTCTTGAAGATATTTTGAATTAGTTAAGAAGTTTAAAGTTTAACAGTTAATGGTAATACAACTACGGTAAGTTACCGAAATTTATGGAATCCAAACAAAGAATAACTAACCACGATATTGATTGTGGTTAATTTATAAACTTGTAGATGAAGCAATTCATTTATTTTAGTACGAAGATAATTATAGAAAATAGTTTTTGCAATATTTTCTTAATAAAACGTATCTCATACATTAAATGTCACAATGAGAATGATGATATATCGACATATGAAGAAAAGTTAAAACAAAAATATTTGAAATTATCTTGCATATAAAAAATTTAGTTATTATTCAGTAACAATCTTAATATATTATTTAAATATTTTCAAAATAAGATATCAAAGATATTACCAAGATCTTTTCTAATATTGCATTTTGACAATATATTTTAATATCTTTTTCAGTAAAATATAAATATTTATTGTTATAATATTTATTTTAAATAATAGAATGTAATTACTTTTAAATATTATTAGAATTAATTTTAATTCATTTGGATTTATTAAATAAGAAATACAATTACTATAATATTTATAAATACATTATTCATATTCATAATTAAATTACTACAATAAATAATATATATAATAACTTAATTAAAATTATTTTATAAACTATAAATTAAAAGAATTACATATTCATGACGACATATATTCATAGAGTTTACAACATACTTCAATTTATTAATGCAAAATATTAAAATATATATTAAAAGAATAACAAATTATATTTAATATAATATCTATATTACTATATTAAAATATAATTTAATCTATACTATTATTTAAGAAGTAAATATGCTTAGTTGTCATGTTCTCCTTAAGTTTAGGTAATTTTATTTATTTATCATATTTTTAGTATTTATATATAATTTATTTATAGATAAACAAATTTATATGAATGTACTATATTTTTAGAAAATAAGATAATTCTTGTGAATTATGTTATTATCTTGAAATATATTTTATATATAAAACTTAAACTTTAAATTAAGATATGAAAATTATTTATTTATTATATAACTAAAACGATAATAAGATAATTCTTGTGAATTATGTTATTATCTTGAAATATATTTTATATATAAAACTTAAACTTTAAACTAAGATATGAAAATTATTTATTTATTATATAACTAAAACGAATTTATATTAATAATTTTATATTTTTCTAAAATAAAATAATTCGTATGTATTATGTTGTTATGTTGAAAATATATTTTCCTATTATAAAACTTGAAATTAAGATATAAAAATTATATTATTAATAATTAAATATAAATCATCAAAACAATTGTTTGAAAAGTAAATTTGTTGATTTATCTCCATGATCCTAGGTAATTTTGATCATTTATCATAATTTTTCTAATTTTGTTTATTATTGATTATATAATTAAAATAATTTATATTAATAATATGATATTTATAAAATAAGTTAGTTCTTATGTATTATGCTGTTATCTTGAAAATATATTTTTATATTATAAAATTTAACATGTAAAAGATCTATACTATTATTTAAGAAATGAATTTGATGTTGTTGATTTGTCATATTTTCAATCATTTTAGGTAATTTTGATAATGTATCATAATTTCTATGATTATATATATAATTTATTATATATTTAAAAAAAATTATATTAATAGTATCAGATTTTTAGAAAATAAGATACTTCCTATGTATTAAGTTGATGTCTTGAAAAAATATATTTTTTTATTAGAAATTTAAAATTAAGGTATAAGAAATTGTAGTTATTCCATAATTGAAATAAAATTACACTAATAATATTATACTTTTATAAAATAAAGTAATTCTTATGTATTATGTTGTTATCTTGAAAATATAATTTATATTATATAATTTAAAAGTAAAATAGAAAATTATTAATTAGATATTATTCATCACTCAAGAAAAAATATTTAAGAAGTGAATTTGCTGATTCGTTAAGTTCTCCATGATTTTAGATAATTTTAACTATATATCATAATTTCTATAATATTATATAATTAAAAAATCTATAATATTATATTTTTAGAAAATAAATAACTTATGCATTAATATTTCTGATGTTTGAGTTTTTGTCATTGATAATTATTTGATGTTTGATTTGTACTTTTTGAAAACATAAATAATAACTTATTATGTTGGTTTTTAAATTAATGAAACATCAACTAATAAATATTCATAAGATAATTATGCCCGCAAGTGCGGGCAAAACACCTAGTATATTTGTATTTGATAAAAAATATTAATTTTTTTTCCTTTTATTATACAGTATATTGAATTATATATTATGATTTACAATTACAATTTATTACAATTTATTTTACTTGCACGGATGCAGCTAAGTTAGTGGCAAGAGACCAATTTGAATCTTGAATGAAGAAACTGGATATGTAGCTACAACCAGATCTTAAAATAACCGTTTTAAAATTGAGGTACTTAGTTACTGCTTCCATGGATTCATCAGTCACAATTAGTTACTTACTTAGTTTTGATAAAAGAAAAGGTTACTTAGTTATTAATTTACTACATAATTAGTTCTAAAGTACTTCCATGGATCCTTTAAGCTACATTCCTCTGCTTCAAGTCTATATTCTTATTACTGATCATACTTGATTCTGAAAACTAAAATTTCTTTTACTTGCACAGATGCAGCTAAGCTAATGACAAGACCAATCTGCATCTTGAGAAACTGGATATGTAGCTACAATCAGATCTTAAAATAACCTCTTCAAAATAGCACTAAGTCCTTTTTTACTAAAACCCCAAATATAAAACTGTGACAATTGGGTACTTAGTTTTTGCTTCCATGGATCCATCAGTCACTAAACTCCGGTTACTTAGTTACTTCTTAGTTATTTACTACATAATTAATTAGCACTAAAGTACTTCCAAAGATCCTTCAAGCTTCATTCATCTGCTTCTTTTGGTTCAGATTCTTCACTCTCTTTAACCATCTTCTTGCTTTCAAGAAACTCCATGAGACCCTTAAGCGCAACATCAGGATCCTTGCTCACCATAAGCCGCTCTATGACCTCAGCTGGAGTTGCTTTCACCTCACGGAACATCTTCTCAATAGGCTCAAACAGATCATCATGCTCTTCAATACCATCAAGATACATTTTAGCGAGCTTCTTGAAGACATTAGGCGTACAGTAATCCATGAGTATATGAACATCCATTCTCCCTGGCCTCAGCAATGCAGGATCCAGTTTCTCCTTATGGTTCGTAGTGAAGACTATGATCCGTTCCTCTACACAGCTTGACCATAACCCGTCTACAAAGTTTAGTAGACCAGACAATGTTACCTAAACACCACACAGAAAAAATCAAGAATCAGAGATACTTTCTGAACATTAGTGAACTTTTATATATATACTCATTATAAACCTGATGATCCTTCTTCTTCTTCTTCTTGCACTGATTCTCACCATCTTCTCCTTCATCTTCACTCTTTTTTCTACAAGAAGCATCCGCTCCACTGCAATCAAGATCTTCAATGAGAAGAATCGATCCGTTCTCGGTCTTAGTAAGAATCTGTCTAAGCATTGCATCATCTTTAACGCTCTGAAGCTGAAGATCATAGATACTATAGTTCATGTAGTTAGCAATAGCAGCAACAAGAGATGACTTCCCTGTCCCAGGAGGACCGTGGAGAAGGTAACCGCGTTTCCAAGCTCGTCCCACGGTTTTGAAAAAGTCTTTTCCATTGGAGAAAGCGTCTAGGTCACGCATCAGTGAGTTCTTGACCTCAGGTTCCATTGCTAGGGTTTCAAAAGTTGTGTTGTGTTGGAAGATTGCTGATTCCCATGAATAATCGCTTGGGTTGTAAGTATGGATCTTGAGATTGTCTTGGCTTGTCAGTATCTTCGCCGATGATTTTGCAATGTATGTGAAGTACTCTGACATGATCTTGTCCCTAAACTCTTTCTTGCATGTCAAGTGAAAGTACCTGAAACACCATTTAACATCAAAATGTTAAAAAACTAATGTCAAAATGCTACGTTTTATTACAAAACACAGAGAACAGAGAACTTAGTTAGACTCAGTTCAGTGCCATAAAATTTAGGGTTTCTTTGGTAACATCCTCAAATTATAGTGTTTCCTTTGTAACATCCTTAAACTTTAAGGTTTATTTTATAGCATCCTTAAACTTTAGGGTCAAACATCAAATAAACTTTAGGTTTTTTTTGGTAAACATCTTAAAGTTTAGGGTTTCTTTTGTAACATCCTTAAACTTTAAGGTTTCTTTTAAACTAATGTCAAAAAGCTACGACTTATTACAGACTCAGGTGAATGATAAATCACGAAGCTTTAGGGTCTAACATCCATAAACTATAGGGTTTCTTTTGTACCATCCTTAAAATTTAGAGTTTATTTTGTAACATCCTTAAACTTTAAGGTTTCTTTTATAATATAGATTTAAACTTTGGGATGAAACATCCTTAAACTTTATGTTTTCTTTTTCTAACATCCTTAAACTTTAGGGTTTATTTTCTAACATCCTTAACTTTAGGGTCTAACATCCTTGAACTTTTGGGTTTCTTTTTAACATCCTTAAACTTGAGGGTTTATGTTGAGAAAAAGAGTTACCGTTTTTGCCGGCTCTGGTAAAGGCCTTCGCTTTTTTCAGACAGAAGAGTCCACTCAAGAGGGATCCCTTCAAACACATCCAAGATCTTGGCTTTAACTGGTATTCCGAACTTGGGTTTCGCCAACGGGTTCTTGAGGTTACTAGAACGGACGAGAAGACTTCCGGTGGTGATTCCGGCGAGAAGGGTCGGCAAGTAAGTCTCTGCTGCACGGAACGTCTGGTTGGTGACGTAATCGCACTGTTCCTCGATGATGAATGTGAAGTTGGGGTTGAAGTAAGAGGAGAAGTGGTCTTTGAATCTTGAGACGATGAAGTCACGGACTTTGGTGGGGATGAGCTCGTTGAGGATGGTTCGGAAGAGGATGGTGAAAGCAGAGAGAGATGTGTAGAACGAGAAGATGGTAGAAGCAGAAGGGATCTTTTGAGTGAAGAGAGTAGACGCCATTGTTGTTAAAACCAGTTTCAGGTGGTGGAGAATATTTGTACGCAAAAGATATTATAGTCTTGCTTATGTTTCTCTGTTACATTGATGTGCTTTTTATATAGATAAAGACAGGATGGTAAAACCCTTAATAACACATGTCACTCATCAATTTTCATTTATTGATCCAAGGGCTGAGAATCTGTTTGATGTCTCTATCTTGTCTTTTGTACTATCTGCACAGCTTTTGCTTTTCTTTTATTATCATTAGCTTCATCTTCACGTAAATCTGACCGTTGTGGTTTTGCTGACTGCTGAGTTATCTGTCTTTCTCATGAGCTGAAACAGAGTTTTTGGTGTGGTGATAAAAGCCAGTGATGTGTGTGTGTGTTTAAAGAGAAATCAGAGAAAAATTGGTGAGCAAGTTTACTAGTTTATAAGTAGTAGAAATGGAAGATTCGAGATAAAGTCGGTGCTTTCCTCTTATGGAAATTGATATTGAGCGAGACATCTCGATATTAATTTGTAACCACATTGCTAAATGCTTTTGTTGCGAGTGTATGGACCAATTAAAATTAGCTGGTAATTAAGCTTTTACAAACAGTTCAGCCACTATGCGAATGCGTCTATGCCTGCAGAGTTAAACCAAAGCGAGCTAAATGAACCGAACCAATTTTTTTTTGTTAAAGTTTGGTTATTTAGATTGAACCATCCAATCAGTAACATTTCGAAATCAATTCAGATTACATGGGCAGTTTGACCAACCGATCGATAAACTGTATTTTCAATTGCTATAGGATACATCACTTTTAAACTGAAACAAATCAAAATTTTAAAACATCAATTAAATTAAAACAGAGAAAGTAAAGAAGAGATTGGTTTAAATCGAAACTAGACCGTTTAAATCAGTATCTTGATTTAACAAAAAAAGTATTTAACTTGAACACAATTTTCAAAACAAAATGTGGTAAATTCAAAACCAAAATTGATCTAAAAACTGTACCAAAATTTATTATATTAATTTCAGTAATCCTCTAGAAAACTTTGGTCAACCAAAAAAAGTCTCTTGGTTTGGTAAACCAAAGTCGCAGGCCTGTCAGCTACATTACTTTACGTTGGAGAAAAATTGACTACCAATTGAAAGTGATTTGTTATTATTTTTGGTAACAATAAATAGTCTTGATCAACAGCTTTTTCTCTATTGGATTTCTTCAATTTATAAAGATAAATAAATAATGGGGAAACCAGAACCTTATTTTGAACCAGAATAAAAGGATTGCAAAGAGTTTTCTTTTTTGTTTTTGCTTTTTCTTAAATTAACAATTTATTGATTAAAAAAGGAAAAATCTTTAAAAATAAAAATAAAAGTCAGCACGTATTAGTCATCTGCATATAGTCACCATTTCCCTTTTTTTTGTTTTATCTAATCTATCCTGTCTTTCCCAAAGATTGTAAGAACACCAAAAAAATCTCTCTGTATCTCTCAATAATGTGTGTTTTGTTTCATGTTTAGATCATTCAATCTCTAATCCACTCTCTGTACGTTAGCTTTATCTTCTTTTCTTTTTTTAAATGGAACGTTGTTCTGTTCAGAGTTTTCTTGCATTGAAATGTTCTTCGAGAATGTTAAGAGATCGTTTTCTTCTTTTCACATACGTGTTTGACTTTTTATTTTGTGTTCATTCGTAAATCAATTTGGATACCTTAAAGAAACCTTATGGATCATTTCAAAAAAATATGTTCGTGATGATTCATTCCTCTTATGGTTTTGTTTGATTGTAGGATCTTTGTGTTGATGATTGTTGTTTCTTAGAAGAGAAATGAGCAATTATTCAGCCGGACTCGGTAAGCCTAGCTCAGGTAATGAACAATATTGGTTTCTTGATTCGCAAGTTCTCTAGGCAGGGCCATTGGATTTTCACAAAATGATTGATCATTAGGGTTTGATGATAATGTTGCGTGTTTAACAGGTAAGAGGAGAATAAAAGACCTTTTGAACCAACCTGATAACCGAGTCTGTGCTGATTGTGGCGCTCCTGATCCTAAATGGGCGTAAGTTCTTCATTTTAAGACATATTTGATCATTGTCTAATCAAGTTCATATGTGTCTGGTTCTGTATGTTCTTTGTGTTTGGTTTCTTTCACAGATCAGCAAACATCGGAGTATTCATTTGCTTAAAATGTTGCGGTGTGCACAGAAGCCTCGGCACTCATATCTCAAAGGTTGATAATAGCTTTTATTATAAGATATATTTCTTGTTTTCTCCCTCATATATAATATGGTTTTTGGTTTTATACAGGTCTTGTCTGTAACACTTGATGACTGGTCAGATGAAGAAGTTGACTCCATGATTGAGATTGGTGGCAATGATTCTGCTAATTCAATCTACGAAGCTTTTGTACCTGAAGGAAGCTCTAAGCCTGGTCCTGATGTTAGTCATGAGCAGCGTATGAGATTCATCAGGTAGTTTTGCTAAAAGTCTTATCTCTGTTTCTTGATGAGTTACTAACTCAAAGATCTTGAATCTTTTTTTTTGTTTAGGTCAAAGTATGAACTCCAAGAGTTTCTGAAACCAAGCTTGAGGATAACATCAGGGAAATCTTGCTCAACAAAGAAACCATCTTCTTTTCTTAAATCAAATCTTTCTACTAAATTCATGGATAGTTTTCGCACAAATTCGTCGTCAAAGAAGATAGTAAAACCTTCTAACTTGCAATCTTCTTTTTTTACAAATAGTTTCTTTCTTTATGTAATCTTCATGATGAGATCAATTATATTTGACAGTTTGAGGAAGGAATGGTAGAGTTTATTGGATTGTTGAAGGTGACTGTTAAGAAAGGTACTAACTTAGCAATCAGAGATATGATGTCAAGTGATCCTTATGTTGTCTTGAATCTAGGGAAGCAAGTAAGTGTTGTACCTCTTTGTTACAGTTTACTAACCTGTTGCATCTATAGACTCTTGTGGATCTTATCATGTTTTGTTGATTGTTCAGAAACTTCAAACAACAGTTGTGAATAGTAACTTGAACCCGGTCTGGAACCAAGAACTCATGCTGTCTGTTCCTGAGAGCTATGGTCCAGTGAAATTGGTAAGCCAGCCTATCCCAACCACCTCAAGTTTTGTTATTAAAAAAAAAGTTTATTGGGTTCTCTGTTTGATTGCAGCAAGTGTATGATTATGATACATTCTCTGCTGATGACATAATGGGAGAAGCTGAGCTTGATATCCAGCCTCTGATAACATCTGCAATGGCATTTGGGGATCCAGAGATGTTTGGGGATATGCAGATAGGGAAATGGCTAAAGTCACATGATAATCCGCTAATAGATGACAGCATCATTAACATTGTTGATGGGAAAGTGAAGCAGGAGGTTCAGATCAAGCTTCAGAATGTAGAGTCTGGAGAATTAGAGCTGGAAATGGAATGGCTGCCTCTTGAGCAATAACAATAATACCAATGCAGTAGATCCCATTTTATTTATTAACTTACACATTTTGCATACATTCCTTCGTTCTTTTGTTGGAACACTTTTGGATCTCTGATATCCTTCCACAGGAACGTTTTTTGTTTGTGATACTTGTATTACATTTGTTTTTGATGGGACTTAAAACAACCTATCCATTCAATATGAGAAACCCTTGTAGAAGAACCAATGATGGCGCTAAAGAATCACTTGAGACATGAGTTATTGCAACAGAACACTACTAAAAACAATCCTAACTTAGCTACCAACCTCTAGAGTCCAGCGTGGAACTAGAGTTCAAACAAAGATGGTAACATTGGGCTTTCAAGCAAACAATATTCGAACCATTCTCCCCTTGATGACAGTAACTTGCAGAGTCATATATGAATGGAGAGACAAACGAGGATATAAAGCAAAGACGATATATTCCAATAGAGACAATTGATTTGTCTTAAAAACAAAAGGAAATATCAAAACGCAAACATAGTATCAATTATTCATCAAGACGCAAACATAGTACACAGCCCCAAAGGAAAAAGCAAGACTTTAAGAACCATAACAGAGACGCAAAGTTATTAGAAACCACCACGGAGACGTAACACCAAATGAAGTGTCGACTCCTTCTGGATGTTGTAATCAGCCAATGTTCTGCCATCTTCAAGTTGCTTACCAGCGAAGATCAACCTCTGCTGATCCGGAGGAATGCCTTCTTTGTCTTGGATCTTGGCCTTGACGTTATCAATGGTGTCGGAGCTCTCCACCTCCAGTGTGATGGTCTTTCCGGTAAGGGTCTTCACAAAAATCTGCATACCACCACGTAGACGCAAGACCAAGTGGAGAGTAGATTCCTTTTGAATGTTGTAGTCAGCCAAGGTGCGACCATCCTCAAGCTGCTTGCCAGCGAAGATGAGACGCTGCTGATCCGGAGGAATACCTTCTTTATCCTGGATTTTGGCTTTGACGTTATCAATGGTGTCGGAACTCTCAACTTCAAGGGTGATTGTTTTGCCAGTGAGAGTCTTCACGAAGATTTGCATGCCTCCACGCAGACGCAACACCAAGTGAAGTGTTGACTCCTTCTGGATGTTGTAGTCAGCGAGAGTCCTCCCATCTTCAAGCTGCTTCCCGGCAAAGATCAACCTCTGCTGGTCCGGTGGGATTCCCTCTTTGTCTTGAATCTTGGCTTTGACATTGTCAATAGTGTCTGAACTCTCCACCTCCAAAGTAATCGTCTTCCCGGTCAGTGTCTTAACGAAAATCTGCATGCCTCCACGTAGACGCAGGACCAAGTGAAGAGTTGACTCTTTCTGGATGTTGTAATCAGCCAAAGTCCTACCATCTTCAAGTTGCTTACCAGCGAAGATCAATCTCTGCTGATCCGGAGGAATGCCCTCTTTATCTTGGATCTTGGCCTTCACATTATCAATAGTGTCGGAACTCTCCACTTCCAAAGTAATGGTCTTTCCGGTTAATGTCTTAACGAAGATCTGCATACCACCACGCAGCCTTAGGACAAGATGCAAAGTTGACTCCTTTTGAATGTTGTAGTCAGCGAGAGTCCTCCCATCCTCGAGCTGCTTTCCGGCAAAGATCAATCTCTGCTGATCCGGAGGAATACCCTCCTTGTCTTGTATCTTGGCCTTAACGTTGTCAATAGTATCAGAGCTCTCCACCTCCAAAGTAATAGTCTTTCCCGTTAGGGTTTTGACAAAGATCTGCATACCACCACGAAGCCGTAGGACGAGATGAAGAGTCGACTCCTTCTGGATATTGTAATCAGCCAATGTTCTGCCGTCTTCGAGCTGCTTTCCGGCGAAGATAAGCCTCAGCTGATCCGGTGGGATTCCCTCCTTATCCTGAATCTTGGCCTTAACGTTGTCGATGGTGTCAGAGCTTTCCACCTCGAGGGTAATGGTTTTCCCGGTTAGAGTCTTAACAAAGATCTGCATCTGTAAGTACAACACGAAAAACTAAGATTAATAATCTAAAATTGGGTAAAACTTCAGATCAAAAATTGCGAAAATAATCACAGATTAACGTATGCAAACCCTAATGCAAAACAAGACGGCTCTATAGGTGAAACTGAGATTTCTATATGCGAATCGAATTCCAAGAATCAATAGCGATCGAATTCGAAATTAACAACACAGATCCGCAACGAATAATACAAAAAAAAACCCTAATCGAAACCCAGATTAGATCTACGGTGAAACTCAGCACTCTATAAACGAATCGTATTCGAAAAAAGAAGAATCAATCGAAGAAGAAGTCTACCTTGATCGTAATTTGCGATTAGAGAGAGGATTGAGATGATTATTTGTTTGTTCTTTTCTTTTTTTTTTCTAGATTGTGAGAAACTGAAATTGTGAGAGAGGAGAGGTCTTGAGGGTTTAATTTATACGAGAGGAAGACTCATTCTCGAGTCGACAAAACTAAGGCGGCGAAGTCATAACGAGTAGGAGTTTGACACGTGTCAGAGACGACGAGAAAATTGTTAAGTTCTCGTCGCTTCTAGAAGTCCGTGCTTTCGTTTCCTTTTTTTTTTTTTTTTTTCGGGCAACGTTTCCTTTTCTTTTTGTTTGGTGAAATAGTTTTTTTTCATTTTTTTGCCAAAAAATGGTAACATTGTCACTTTAGGCTAATCTCTATTACTTTATATCACGTTAGTTTAAATATTTTCTAAATGATAATAATGCCCTTAAATTTAATTAAAAGTCATAAAAAAAAATTCTCAAATCGCAAAAAAAACGAGAAGAAGAAACTGCTCTATTCGACGGGATCGATCGATCCGAGAAACAGTCGGTCGATCCGTCGGTCGATCCGTCCGGCGTGAGTTTCCAAATCAATTTTTTTTTACTGTTCCCAAACACAGTGAGGGAAAGCTCTCAATACAATAAGGCAAATCATTGATAAGACAACTTAAATAAAAGGCAGAGATACAGTCACCAAACTGAGTTCTCAAGAATCAGAAAAAGGATTTGTCTTTGGGATTTCAGACTGATCAGATCTTAATTTCTTGAATCAGAAACTCAGCAGTCTATAAACGAATCAAATTCAAAACAGAAGAAGCAATCGCGATCAAACGAAAAAACAACTGATCGAAGAAGAAATCAACCTTGATCAGAATTTGCTTAGAGAGAGGATTGAGATGATTGTTCTTTTTTTTCTAGATTTTGAGAAGGTCTTTGAGTGTTTAACTTATACGAGAGGAAGAGAAAGACTCCTTCACGACAAGCTAAGGCGGCGAAGCAATGACGAGTAATAGTTTCACACGTGTCAGAGACGATGAGAAACAAAGTTAAGCTCTCGTCTCTTCAAGAAGTCCTTGCCTTTCATTTCTTTATGAGAATTTCTTAGGTTAGACCAAATTTTTTTTTTCACAAATATAGACTTTAAAAATAAAAATGACCAAAATAAATTAAAATATTTTATTAAAAGAAGTAAATATACGTTAATACCTTTAGGGTTAATTAATCAAACATTAGGGTTTAGAGTTCAGTTAGGATTTAGGGTTTAGGGTTTAGAGTTGAAGAGTGGGTTTTCGGGATATGATTTCAAATTTAAAAAAAAATCAAAATAAAAAAATGCTATTTTGGTCATTTAAGTTTTTGAATTCTATTTTTGTAACAAAAACTTAAAAATATCTATTTGAGAGAATTGTCATTTCTTTTTTTCTTTTGTTATTTGCTCTCTTTTTTTTGGCGTGTTAGTCCCTCCTTTTATTGAAATTGGGTTGTATGACACCACAATAATTCATAATTAGGTGAATAGACAATTACTCTAGTTTTTTTATATATGGATACAGATTTATGTAATATTTCTATTTTGTTCCTAATCCCAACCGGCAAAACCTGCTGAAAAGAAAATTAAAAATTCTTAATTTTTTATTTATAGAAAGTAACTCGTGGCCCTATTATCTTCACATTATCTCTTTTTTACATGTTTCACCTTCTTCAAATCCACCAATATTTTCTCCACAGTCACCACAGTCGGCCTCCTCTGTGTTTCTACTACTCCTCAAAGTGTGTTGCAAAGGGGAAATTTTCTCCGCTTGTGAAATTGGTTGTGAGAAGAGTTCGTAAGTGTGATTGGCGTGAACGACCACCAGAGCCTCATCTTCTTCATATCAGCGATTAATTGAGATATGTTGCAATATTGTAAGTTTTCTGTTTTGTTCCATAGATTCTATTATTTCATTGTTATTTCCCTTATTTGGAATAGATTCGGCCCTAGTCTATTCTAAGTTGATAAATCTAACCCATCGTCTTTGTTGCATGCCCGATCTGGTAACCTGAGGTAAACGAATTTATTTAGGGCTGAAGAATCATATTAAAACTAATATACTATTCACTTTCCATTCCATCTAACCATATGTTCTATTCCATACATATAAATTCTATATTATATCAGATGGTAAAGTTCTAATTGCATATGTTACTTTCTTACTCGCATAGGCTATTTGGGATTGCTTAACCTAAATATAAAGTAATTCATATACTAGTAGCTTATCTCACATGCTGCTATTTCCTTCTAATTTATAAATTAATGTGAGTCTTCATTTTCATTTTGTTCTTAAGGTTTGTCATGGATGAGTTGGAAGGGTAATAGTATTTTTATGCTATTTTATGAAATGGAACAGACTATATTTCCTTCAAATTTGGCTCTTCTCTTATTTGACATGATTATTAATATATAATGTACTATTTTTAGTAAGTTATATTTCATTTGATGCTTAAAAGAGAGAGTTCAATCTTGTTCGTTGTTGTTTCATGATATTTTGAAATGAGTTTTGTATTGGTGTATACATGTGTTTTAATTTAGTATGTATATGATTTTGTAAAGAGAAATAATATATTGAACGTAAATGAAATACTTTATTATGACATCAAATAAAACATAATACAATGTGATGTTGAATGAGAATGATATTCATATGATGTTGTGTCTCTTCTAGTTATTTTCTCTAATGCCCTAATTCTTCATTTCTTTTTGCTACAATCAATATGACTTTGGTGTAAGCATTATCTTCTTCCCTATGGAAGATTGGGGTTGACATTGAATTAGAGTTTATATTTCTATGTAGGGTTTAGTGATTAGTGGTTAAGATTTAGTTTATGAAAGATTAGGATTGACATTTGATTATGGTTTATATTTTCGTGTAAGGTTTAG